TGCTCCCACCTTCAGCATACTACTGTTCTTCAATTATACTACTTAAAACTATTCTAACAAGATTTCTGATATCAGGCGAAAATTCCTTTCTAACAATAAAGAAATTGCTCTTCTACCACTCATGGGCTAAAAATGACATCCCACTAGGTTGGATTAAATGGGATTATTTGATATCTCGTTCCGAAGTAGGATTACGCAATAGCTTGCGCAGTGTAAGCATTCTCGCAAAATTCAGCAAAAATATTTTACTTTTTTTCACTTTGCTCGCTTTGGCATTTTACTTAGTTTATAGTGTTTACAGTTTATTGTGGATTTAAGTTGTGTTTATTTCGTTTATTAATAGTAAATCACAAAAAATTAATTGGGACAAGATTTACCGATTTGGCGATGAGAAGCATGTATTGTGATTTATCCTCTGTGAATGCATGACCCTTCTGTTAAAGTTTGTCTCATTTTTTTTCAAAAGTTTTCTACAAAAAATAGGTTATTTTAAACTACTTTGAGGTCTACAGCTCAAGGAACTTAGTGCTATTTCGAGTGATCTTGTGTGACGAAGAGAAGCGTAGGTTGGTCCAACCAAAAGAAGATGACAGACTTCCCTTGGCCAGCTGTGGACTGGCTCTACGGGACCTTCTAGTTGACTTTATCTTTAGAGTAATCTACTTCAGTCTCGAGGAAGATTAGTCCAGTTTTCGTCCGCCGCATTAAATGTCTTATAACTCTTACAACTTATTCAGGTTGAAGCGTCGAGAAAATCCCGGTCTCTTATCGCTAAAAGCAATCTAAACATGAATTTGTTTAGTTATTTATTGAATTTGTTGCTTTATGCCATATAGCAAAGTATAAGCATGTGTGAGTGTATGCTTACGTTCACATGGTATGAAATGTACGGCAAATGGGATAGTCTAAAATGTATGGTTTAAAATGTTCAAAATATGTATCAGGAGCTCAGATAGGGACTGAAGTAAGCTTCTTTGAAAATACAAATAATTCTACCAGTCTTTTTTGGCACAGCTTTTATCAGAGTTAAATGTGTGTTGTCGCACAGTTCACATAAAAGTTTGATCAACTTAAACGGACCTATGTCCTATATTACACATTAGATTGAGCATAAAAAATGGGTTATTAAATAGTGATGGCGCTTTATGAGCTGGCCAAATCATTCTATATATGAAAATAATTCTCAGTTTCAGAGAATTTAGGTCGTTGATAGTTGAGGACGGCGGCAACCGGAATCTTCCAGAAAAGGCAAAGAAAACCTGAAAATAGAAATCCGTCGTGTTTTGATAAAATCACACATTTTTATTCCAAATGTAACTGAGCACAACACATGATGTGCTGATTATAGGATTCTTTAAAAATGTATATTTATAAAAGAGTGGCGTCCTCGTTATGTTGTTGTAGAAGATGGGTAAAAAAGGATTCATCTGCTTGTTGGTAGCCAATAAGTATGCAAGGTCGTTTGGATCAAATCGTTTATTCGGTGTCGTTTGTGAAAGATTATTAAATTCTGTTGACTTATCCTGAGCTCTACAAAACTGAAGCATCGGAATACCGCATGTCTGCAGACGAAACATTGACAAAAGGAATGACGGATATTGGCTTGATTTAATGTTAACTTGAGGCTTTGGCGAGAATGATTCTCAACTTTGACAGCATTTATCATGTAGTATGATGGAAAAAAGCTCAGTCCGTCTTCGCACGAAACGTTTAGGCATTTTTCGTGGACTGCATCAACCTGAAAGTAGCAAGAGAGCCAAGCAGCTGCAGTACAACGTGAATCCGTCGACTTCTTCTGGTGCTAGTGACCCACGAATATCTTCATCGTGCACTTTCATACGAAATAAAAGTCTTCACATTAAAGTACATTTTATGAATGAGCTCTCAAAGGAGGAGAAAAGTCATTTCACGGCGAAACTTTGGATAGACTTCGAATTCATTCT